CCACACCTCTAAAATGGAGGTGCGCGTAAGTGCAACGGTTGAAAAATGTGTAAAACCCCGTAAATGCTTAGTAATTGAAAAGCGAACATGCAAAAATACCTTTGTAAGTAATATTCCTTTCTGTCTATCACAATTTGAATTTTTAGAAATGCTAGAAGAACTTTTAATGATGATTTGAATGCAGACTTCTTGTTGTTTATTTTATTTTTATTTCTTTATAGCTTTATTTTATGTAGTTAAAAATATTGAAGGCTTTATTAATGATCAATTGACTGATATATGAAATTTCAAAATGAAATGTTGCTTGATGCCCATGTAAAAAATTATTTTGTCAAAAAGTGACAAGATTTCCCTGTTGCCAGAAATGCCCCGCCTTACATTAGCCAAAAAAATTCAACTTCCTGAGCTTCATTTATTACAAAATTACTCCACAGGATGCAAAAAGTTCCTAGGTAACTTTTAGAAACAATGCTTGTCCAACAGAGCACTCACAGAATGATATTTTTCATTTTAATGATGAATTTTAAAATCCACCATAAGATACCTTTTGTCAATTATGGTCACATTTGACCAAATCCTTTACAGGAGACGCTTAAAGGCAGTTGTTCTTTCTTATAACAAGCACTTTTTAGCTATTAATAGAGCTAAAGCAGGTAAGTTAGGCGTTTTCTTCGTGCCTCCATTGACTTCCTTAACAAACTTGCCAACCAAAGTGGCAGCCAATTATGAAGTGTGGGCAGATACCATATCACATATGTAAAATTAATGAAATTTATATCTTTTCTAACTCTCACTTCCAGTGGTCTATAGCATCTTTGCACTCAAAATTAATAGACTTCTTAACTTATTTTTATTGTAATAGTTGTTTTTTTGCAGGATTTAAATGAAAGTGGTGAGCTTATTAAAGTAGTCCCTAAAGTAATGCCGCTTGATGAAAGGTAAACATTGTTTTGAACTACTCCAGATGGATCATTGAATAATCTTCATGCGTGTAGACTCAAAATCCTTACTTCTCAATCACACATTATGTTGTTCATGAAAGGTACCCCGGATGTAAGTGGTAATTGCATTTTGTAATAATTATTGTTCATTTTTACAGAACCCAAAGTGTGGTTTTAGTAAAGCAATTTGTAGCATTTTGAAGGAGATTGAGTTAGTTTGATTTGATTGTTAATTTTACATTGGTCTTTTATTAGTGTTCAATTTGAAGCTTATGATATACTCGAAGATGAAGATATACGTCAGGGGCTCAAAACCTATTCAAACTGGCCAACATATCCACAACTGTATGCCAATGGCAATTTTCTTGGTGGATTAGATATTGTTAGAGATTTACATAGCTCTGGTGAACTAGTCACTGCTTTGCAGAAGCCTTAACAAAATGTTTTCTTTTTCTTCTAATAGCATTAATGCATGTACATTAATTCATTTTGACTGCTATGTATAATAATTATTTTGATTGTGCTCATTTGCATGTACAGTCAAACCTTCTATTGTGGACAGTCTAAAATAAGGACACCTCTATAATCAGGACAGGTAGTATCAGTCCCAATACAATAGTAATGTTTATTAATGAGCCTCTAAAATAAGGACACCTCTTTAATACAGACGGTTTTATTGGGTCCCAAGGTGTCCAGAATAGACAGCTTTGCATTGAAGTGACTGAAGTCACTTTTGGCAATCAATTGCAAGCCACTGATGAAAACTTCCAATCATTGAATAAATCAGTATTGCTCATGATGTAGAATTTGCCAAAAAGAAATAATTTTACAAAACAAAGCCCTTCATGGTATTTGGCTTTAAATTTTTTGATGCAAGGCAATTTCACTTTTCTAATAGAGCAGAGGGCATGTCTTACATGCATAAGATTTCCATGATCAACGTGGGCTGAAATAGGCTGCAATTGCCAACAAGAGATTGTGTCAGTTTCTTGAGGTAATAATAAATCAATAAAAAATAAATTATTGAACAAAACAAAAGAACAATTACAAACATTATTTTTACAGACAGAACACGTAGCTTAAAAGTCTACTGAAGCATAATAATAATTATATCATTCTACTTTGATAACTGCATTAATCTTTTGACATAAGCCACAACATTTGATACAGGTTGATGAGCATCAACTTCTGCAAATAGTAAACACATGTATCCAGGACTGTCTTGCATTTTATGAACAATACCAAAACAACTATTAGCATGGTTAATGGAACAAATCATAATAATAGTTTACTGCAAACTTACGGCTTATTCTTTATTGAAACAGATTCTTCTAAATGTGACAAGTCCCACCTGTAAAGTCTAAATTCACAGAATGGATAAAATAACAGTCTCAAACCTAGTATCATTTGGATCCAGTCCACAATGCAAAATAGAATTAATGGGATAATTTCGTTTACTCAGTAACCTGAAGTAAAAATAAAGAAGGTTGAAGTACACTTGCAATTTTGCATACAACAATACCCATTAGCTTTGTCTGTAATAGTTACTCCACTCATAGATGCTTTAAAATTTACAACAGTTGATGTAGGCAAATCAAGTGCTTTCAGTTGTTTGGCAGCTTCTGTAATGGTAGAATCTCCCAAAGGTCGAAGTACTTCAATATTGCCCAATAATACCAAATCACAAGCTACATCAATTAAAAGATAAACAACTTAAAAACTATTTTCCTAACTAACCTGCAGCAGCAAGTGTTTGCTGGCTTTCTGGTTTCCTCTTCGGGACTGGAATAGGGTCAGTAGAACCTGCAGTACATGTATCAATTATTTAAAACAATTACAAGTATATTTTTTTATTTTACTTTTTGGAAGCTGTAACACACAAGGAAGACAAAGCTTTTCCATTGTATGCCTTGCAATAAAATCAGGAAGTGTCTCTAATCAAAATTATCACAGAATATGATGACATTACTAATATCACATACTAAAAGCAGGTTCATTCCACCCTTGCAATTTAACTCCATCTGGATCAGGTTGTATCAAAAAATGAGTTACACACATGTCATCAGTTACTTCTGTATCTACAAAGAAATTTATACAACAAATTACTTGTACATCAACTTAGAAACATGTCACATGTACCATCTGTTAACTTTCTTCTTTGTCTTAATAGCTCCCTTGACACCTTTATTGTAAGAGCATAACCACCACTAACAGTTTGGCTGTCACGAACAACAAAAGATCCTGCATCCATATTTTTGACTAAATTGCATGCATCTTCTCTAGAAATGTCAGGACGATACCAGTGAGACATTAGATCCTTCACTTCGGCTACTAATATTACGAAAATGAACATGTAAATATGTCGACAATACAACTATAGACATAACATTTTTTCTACAAAAGGTACATGTAGGTTACAACAAGGAACTTAAAGTTTTGTACAGCAAAAATATTTTCAAGCCACACGTAGATGTACATAATAACTAAGCAATTTAAATCCTTGTAACTACACATGTACATGTATGTACCGTATTTCCTTAAATAAAAGCCAGGGCATCTATTTCCTCAAATGGTATTTGGATCTCGAAAATATATATATGAAATTAAAAAAACTTTGGCCCAGAGTGGAATTCGAACCTATGACCTTATGACCTCATGCTTTTGACTTCTGGAACTTTAGGCATTATCCACTAGACTACTGGGTTAGACCAGGACTAAAGTTGCGTATTTATAGTTCAATTGTATTGCTACCCCAGCATCTATTCAAATGCGGGTTCTATTTAAGGATATACGGTACATACATATATTTACTAACGCACTTTACTCTTACACATTTTCCACCACTGAGCATTAATTTAGCAATGAATATCACTAATAAGTCACCACATTGTGGGAAAGATGTACAGAGATGAATGGGATAAATAATACTATTCCTTTAATTTCTCCAAAAAAGGCACCAGCAATAACCAAATGGTAAGTATAATTATACCACAAATGAGCAGTGAGAATTTCCATGTGAGTTAGTAAAAATATTACAAATTTTGTCACTTTTCCCATATAGTACATCTCTGTATCTCACAACATGGCAGTTAATTTATTCATTGCCAAACTCATATTCAAACCAACAACCATGGGATCTTAGGATTCCAGATAAGCAGTTTGGCTATTCAGACCACTCTAAACATTGTATCACATAATAGTGCTTGGCAAATGTGCATATTTATATGTATGTTGGTAATAGGCTACTATTAGAGCAGGGCCCTTACTTGAGAAAACATGGTACATGCACATACATGTACATGTAAATGTAATCATCACATTTTACTACCTGAAGCAAAACTCAATGTGCATACATGAGCATATTATAAGCCGTTCACGCTTTTAGGTGTGTTCAATCTTCAAACAACCTGGTGTATGTATTATATACATACTTCAAAGCAGCAAGATAATTAAGACAGGAAATATGGTCATGCAATCATGTACAACGCAAAATATAGGACCTAAAGCATGTACATGTACATGTACATGTATAAAATATCACAAAAATTTATTCAATGCAACATCACAAGCTAGGCTATTAACAATTAACTCTTACTAGCTTGTGTAGAAGATTTCCCTTTCAAGGCTTGATATGGAGCGGGTGGCTTCGGAGGAACTAAAAGAAGATTTTCAATATTACATAGGTACAAAATATGAAGCTGACTTTTATTCGGAAGTGGCTTTATGTGATCACTACTAACACTCTGTTCTTGCAATTTTGCAGCTTTACTATAACATAAAATTTAGATAATTCAAACAGTACTTACTCTGCTGCAAAAAAGCGGGTAGAGGAGGTTTAGGTGGGGGCTCTTTTCTTACAACTTTACTTTCACCTGTTACTGAACCTCCTTCCTTTGACTCTTGAGTCTTATTCGAAGCAGATGCAGCAGAATTACCCAACGGAGAAGACTGCTTGCTTTGATGCTTTTTCAATTTTTGTTTCTCTTGGTCGGAGTCTTCTTGCATCTTGCTCCCCCATGAGTCAATACTGAACTCCATGTAATCACCTCGCCCAACTTGAAGACCTCGCCCACTTTTTTCTGAAAAATGAAACATTGGAATACTCTCTTGCTGAGTGCTTGCAGTGACAGCACTTGACTGAATGACTGTCTTTGTAGATGGCTTTTTGATTCTTAAATTTTGCATTAACATATCTTTAAGACCTAATGCAGGAACCTTCTGCTGAATAACTGTAGCAGGTACTATTTCTTCAGATAAAGGAAGTATTGGATTGTTTCGTAGTTGTTCTCGAAGTTCCTCTTCATTTAAGTAATCATGTGAGTATTCGTCAGCATTGTAGTTGACATAGTCATCTGCCTGCATTGGTACATTACCATAAAGTGCATCAGGTGGTACAGTATAAGTTTGACTACTATCCAGGTCATCAGTTGGTGTTGAATAAATGTCAGCTTCATCATCGTGACCAAAGGTTGCATTTTGAGGAGACAGGATTGGAATTATAGATCCCCTGGACATTGATACTGGTATTGCAGATTCACCTTCACTAAAAGAGCGCCTTCTCTGCTGTGCAATAAAGGGCTTCCCTTTAGCTATGTCATCTAGATTTGTATATTCCTCATGAGCTAACAGGTTGTCAAGTGCTGTTTGACTGGATGAACGCTGACTAGATGTCATAGTGTCATGTGCTTTTGATTGCCACTTGACAGATACCCACATGTCATTATTGTCTTGTGAACTGCAAGGTGGAGATGCTGGAGTTAACACAAGTTGATTTGCAGAAATGTCTTCATAGCGACCAGCATTGTTACCAGTAGCACTTTGTGATGAAGGAAGTATTTGCTGGCAATCAGTTTTGCCAGGATTGATTACTGAGTAACGAACTGGTGGTGGTGGACGAGTAGGCTTCTTTCTCTGATGCTCTTTGTTATGTATCAAATGAGAATATTTCGGAGAACCAAAAGACGATGACAAATCTGACACTGTCGATGATACAATATCATCCTTATTGGAGGCAAAATCACCGTCATTAACCTTACTAACAACAGTATAAATGTCACCACCATCAGCTACGATTCTTTCAATCAAGGTAGGATCCATCTGAACACTTCCACTAGTTGTAGACCGCTGTCTTTCTGCAGATGGATCAGTGAAGTTAATTAAATCTAGAAACAACACCAATATCATAGTGTTACTTAGCTACACATTGTACACTCACCATGAGAACTGGCATCAACAAAGCAACTTTGAAAAGGAGCAGAAGAGTTTTGTGCATGTATTTCATTAGATTCTGTCAAAAATCCTTCTAAAATTGACTCTCTCTTTCGATCAGCAAGTAATGAATGGCGTATATCTGTTGGTGTTGTTAGTCCTTCTACATATAAGTATATAATGAATAAATTAAAAGAATAGCATTTATTCATAATAATAATTGCATATGCGTACATGCAAATACCTCGTTTGATGTTGTTTCCCTTAGATTGTGCGGTTTCAAAAATGAGTTCAACTTTCGTATCATCTGAAAATCTTTTGTCTCGAAAAGCATCATCAAGATCTTTCTTAGTCCAGACTAATCGCTCGTCTTTCACAACAGAATGATGAAACTGACAACGAAAGATAGAATCAACTCCAGTGTGAGTCCTTTTATGGAAACATTTAATCTAAAATGAGTGCACATGTAAAAGACTTTACCCATAAAATGACATACAATATTACCAAAATTTCACCACACAACTTTAAGCCTCCATATAGTGAAATCTTTACCCTGTCTTTATCGGCTGTACAAACACTACAATGTACATGTATATGTACAAATGTATAGAATGACAATTTAATACTACTTACTAGAGTCCTGAAGTATGAATCAATTCCATGTTTTGATATATTTTTATAAAAGGGCGGCAACCTCCTTTACCATCAAAATTTGGAATTCCATGGATGATAATGTAGCAAAGTTTAATAGGTCTACAAAATTGATCATTAGAACAAATTTAGCAAACATGTAAATCTACATGTACAAGTACCTAGCATCAAGTTTTAACTTTCCCACCAGTAAGTCTTCAAAGTAATGCACATAACGTCTCTGTGAAGGTTGTGTTACACCTTGTAATTTGTCATCATAAAACCTTTTCATTGCAAAATGATCCAAAGCAGCAGAGGCACTAAATTGATAATATTAAAAATTCATACATTCTGATTCATTCAAAAAATTTTCATACAATCATCTTGGCTTATGAAAAGCAAGAAATTCACTTTTCTTAAGATTGTATTAGACAGTATAACCATGAATAGCCCAATACATTGTACATAAATATAATAACCCTCATTTCCTTTGCTAAATTTAAATGCATTTTACACTGTCCTTCCTTCTCATTTCTCTCTCTTTCTTCCCCTCTTCTTCTTTTTATTATTACTATTATTGTTGTTGCTGTTGTTATTATTATTATATTAATTATTTATTTATTATTATGTTGTTGTTGTTTTTACACTACTACATGTATTTCCAGTTTTATGGTACAAATCCTATATGAGTTAGCCTATAGTCTCAGTACTATAAATGCACATGTACAGTACCGTATAGCTTGATATTTTCGTGGGTCAATATTTTCGTGGTTTGCTCCTAGTGGGGCAATTCGTGGTTTAATTTTCGTGGTTGACAGCTTACATAGCCTGTAAGGGGATGGCACTTCAATGATTTCGTGGGATTAAATTTCGTAGGCAGCCCATAACCACGAAAATCACAAAATTTACATTCCACGAAAATTTCAAGCTATACGGTACATTGGTTGTTATTTCTTGGAATACATGTAGAAGAATTAAAAGCATATAATAGACCCTATTGGCTGCAAATTTATGCAAATACATGTACATGTATAGTCAGTTTCATTTGAGTTGCCACAGGAAGTAAATCAATGTTTGCATCACAAAACGTCATTCCTATCCACACCCAAAATGGTGGCAGAGTACAAGCAAACTCTTTCATTGAGCATTTCTTTACCTTTAAGACTTTTATTGTCTATTTTATCCTTGCTTTGGATACTACTACCTTTCATTATCACTGGCTAGACCTTTTTCTGTTATAAAGCTGACAAAGACCTCCAATATGGAAGATAATGACCTAGGTTGAGGGTAATGAAAAAAAACGGTCATCAAGAAAGCTGTGGACAGGTATAGCAGATGTTTCCCAGTAGTATAGACTGCTAGTTGAATGCCTCCTTCTTTAGAGGACCTTATCTGCCTGCTTTTATTTCATAAAATAAAAGACAATAATTTTCTTAAAATAATAATGAGATGCAAATTATATTCAAGAGTGTGATGTAGCGTAAACGTAATGATTCATCATGGCGGCTCCCTTTGAACTAGAGCGGAAAAACTCATTGAGAACCTTCCAGAGTACCTAGAGACTCAAAAATTGGTACAGATTTTCGAAAGAACCCATTATGCAACTACACCAAGTTTTAGGTTACTAGCATTAGTAACAAAAAAGTCATAAGGGGTGGTGCTTGGGCAACTCAACTGAAACCGACTATAAATATTGCTAGGGCCGAAGCAAATAGTGACATATTCAGACAGTTGTTTGTATATGATGTTCACAGCAATATTCAAACAAGCGTAACAGTGTAAAAAATATTCCTATAATTGATTTCACCACCTTGCAAGAACAACTGGATTTTATTAAGACTTATAGAATCCCTCGCTACCTTTTAATGCTTCTAGAGAAGTCTTTAGACAGTATCTCTATGTTGTCTTGCTGTTAAAAAGCTCTTCACTTTGTCCCAAGTTTAAGCCGCCATTTTGTTTGCCATGACCACACCCACTACGTAAAGGAGCATAGGCGGGTGGTTGCTAAGGCTTATGAATTTTGTTATTTCTCCAATACAACATGTACAGAAGAAGAGTAAGTGTGGACCGAGGGGTTTGCAATGGGCTTGTAATCTCATAAAACCTTCTTGGTAATCCAGTAATCCAAAAAACAATCTTGGAATAATACAATAATCTTAGAAGAATTCAGTAATCTGTAATCCAGGATTAACAAATTTACAGAAAACTCCTAATAATTATCTTAATATAATCCGGAAGTATCCGGAGTTTAAAACAACACCTATTGGTTATTCAATAGTTATTAAGACCACACCCATTATTAATTAATAAGGTGTGGCCAAAACCAATAACAATCCAAGTAAATTTAAGTAATCCAGCTTGTAATCCCTGGTAATCCAAAGAATCTTGGTAATCCAGCTTGTAGCCCTTGGTAATCCAAAGAATCCACCTATAATCTTGGTAATCCACTCATAATCTTAGAATTCTCCTAGTAATCCAGTAATCAATTGGTAATCCTGGTCATTTTTGTAATCTCGTAAAGATTATCTTCCCATTGCGAACCCCTCGGCGTGGACATACAAATATACAAATATCGCACGTGGGTGAAATCAATTATAGGAACGACCCGGGGGCTACGAACCCAGGTAGTTAATAAGCTTTCTTGCTATTTGCACTATCAGCCAGGGATGGGGCAAAGTACATTGGTACTTGTGCTTAAGTACACTTAAAGGATAACTGCAGTGGTTTTTTGAGGTATTTATTTTATTGGCTAAATATGATTGCCTGAACTTTTTAATGAAGTGTGAGAACTCCTATTGTTCAAAAAAATTATTCACTGAGATATGAGCTTTCAAAAATGCCTTTATTTACTTCATGCCATGTTACTTCCTGTCGGTGGGCGTGGCTAAATGTGACGTCATTTTGGTAAATCTAGTGATTAATCCATTCCTTTATAGGGGGATTAATCCTTTATTCTCATGCCTGGTAATGTAATAGCACAAATTTAAAGATTGGGATTGTTAGCTCTCATTATTCTAAGCATGCAACTGCAAGAAAATGTCATACTACCACAAGTAGGCAAATGTTCCTGTTTGCTATTTTGAGTCTTTTTCTTGCAGTTGCATGCCTAGAATAATGAGAGCT